TAAGAAATAGAGGAAGTCAGAGAAGAAGATGGAGATATAGAGAATGGGAGAAAGAGACAGACAGATAGACAGAAAGGCAGAGACGGAGAGAGAGAGGGGGGAAGAAAGATGAAGAGAATGTGAAAGAGAGAGAGAGATAGGCGAAGTGAGAGAGAGAAAGGAAGATACGAGAGAAGGAGAAAAGAAGAACGAGAGAGAGAGAAGAACAACAGACAAGAAAGATAAACACACCGACAGAACGAAGGAGGAGTGAAAAGTAAAGAATTGAGAAAGCGAAAGCGGAAGACGAAGAAACAAAGAAAAAGGGAAAAAAACATTTAAAAAAAAAAGGGAAAAAACATTTAAAAAAAAAAGGTAAAAAACACACACGAAAACGAAATCATTTCACCATTACCCTGAGACAAGTTCGTGACTTAACGCTTTTCAGCCCCTTCCCCTCCTCTCCCCCTCCCCCTAAACCTCCCCTCCCCTCCCCGCCTTTCCCCTTTCTTCCAAACCCCTCATCGCTCTTCTCTTTCCCTTCCTCTTTTTCCCCTCTCCCCCACCTCTCCCTTTCTCCCTTTTCCCCCTCCCCTTTTCCCCACCCCACCCCCATCCCCTCCCTCTTTGCCCCATCATCCCTCCTCCCTACCCCCTATCTTTTCACCATCCCTCCCCCTGTCTCCCTTCCTCTTCCCCTCCCTAATCCTGTCTCCCTTCTCTCCTCTCCACCCCTCCCCTCCTCGTCAGCCCTCCTCCCTCCTCCCCACCCTCCCATCCCCCTGTCTCCCTTCCTCCCTCCTTCCCCCCCCTCTCCCCCACCGCTGTCTCCCCTCCCCCGCCTCTCCCTCTTTCCCCACCCCCAACCGTTCCCTTCCTCTCTCCCTCCCCCCTCCCCCACCCCCACCTCTCCCCTCCCCAGCCCCTCCTCTCCCCCTCCCCCCTCCCTCCTCCCCCTCCTCCCTCTCCCCCCCTCCCCTCCTGTCTCTCTTCCTCCCTTCCCCCTCCCCCACCTCCTAACCTCCCCTCCCACTCCCCCTCCCCCTCCTCTCTCCTTCCTCCTCCCCCATCCCCTCCTGTCTCCCTTCCTCCCCTCCCCTCTTCCCCCACCCTCCCATCCCCGCCTCTCCCTTTCCCCACCCTCCCATCCCTCCTGTCTCCTCCCCTCTCCCCCACCCCCACTCTCCCCTTTCCCCACCCCCCATCCCCTCCTCTCTCCCTTCCTCCCATCCCCTCCTGTCTCCCTCCCCCTTCCTCCACCCCCGCCCTCTCCCCTTTCCCCCCACCCCACCCCATCCCCTCCTCTCCCCCTTCCCCATCCCCGCCCCCCCGACCACTTTCTCCCTTCAATCCGATGTCTCGCCGAAACTCTCGTTTGTCTCTTGAGTTTCCTCATCGCCCACGCTTCCCAAGCCTACGGAAAGGAGAGTCGGAATGGGCGGGGTGGTTATGGCGTGAGGGGGGCTAGGAGATTGGCCGGTTGTCGTCTGGCTTGGGTGTGTTGTTTGTTTTTTTTCTTTGTTTGTTTGTGTTTGTCTTTCTTTCTTTCTTTTTTTTGTTTTTTTTCTTTCGCTCGCTCTCTTTCTCTCTTTCTCTTTTCTTTCTCTTTCTCTCTCTTTCTCTTTCTCTTTCTCTTTCTCTTTCTCTTTCTCTTTCTCTTTTCTTCTTTCTCTTCTCTCTCTCTTTCTCTCTCTCTCTCTCTCTCTCTCTCTGTGGCCAAGACAATAGATTTATTTACACTAGACTATTTCCCAATTATAAAAGTACGCTCGTTATCCCCGTTAATCACCTGTGTATGAAAAAAAAATATGATTGCATTATCGGATGACACCAAGTTTCATTTTAAGAAATAACAGCAACGATGTATAGGGGAATTCGTTATTTAAAGAAAAAGGCAAACAAAAAAATTAGATAAAGATTGAGAAAGATTTGTATCAAGCGAGGGAAAGGTGGGTTGCCTGAGCTGACGTGAAGCAACACAACCGAATGACAAAAATATTATTTTTAGGGATATTGATGTTATTTTTCAGTCCATTAATTTCATCCTTCATCGGAGAAATATCAAAAAACAAAAAACAATCTACTAGAAAACGTTGAATAACAAAAAAAAAAAAAAAAAAAAAAAAAAAATCTTAAATTTACGCTTAAAAAATGTGTACTCGGAAGCGGTGGTAGGGAGCTCGAATGTAAAATCTGTTCAGGGGACTATGAACTTTTATAAAAGCAGTAATTATTAAAATTGTACTTTTGTTTGCACTTGATATTGATATTGTTGTTTTTCCTATCTTCCTCTCCGATTTTTTAGCAATGGTTTTGATATTATTGATGACAGGGACGACACCCGTAGCGGCAATAACAGAAATCATCATGCTAAATGTCAGTGCCATAACAACGCAAATTATAGAAAAAAGGAGCTAAAAGAAATGGTGAAACTAAGATTTTTCGTAGAGTAAACTAGTAAAATACTGGTCATTCATACGACACTAATACAACTGCCATAATGAAATATCAATATTAATGA